GGGCGGGCAGGGCGGGCGGGAGGGGCGCGGGGGCGGTGGCACCGCCCGCACCTGCCCGCAGCTCACCTGCCAACCCCCCTGCCAACCCCCTCGGCGCTGCGGGACGGCCTAAATCAACGGGTGTGGGGTTGCTCTGTGCTGCTGGATCCGGCGCGGAACAGGGAGGGAGAGCCAGGGGCGTAAGGCAGTTCGTGTATCCCTGTCGGTTCTCCAGCAAATCCCTGCCAGCGCAGGGGTTTTTGCAGAGGGCAATGCGGGCTTTCTTGCTTGATGTTAAGCGCCGTGCGGTAGGTGGTGTGGCCACGTAACAGTCTGTAGAGTGAGCACGCACAGCACGGGGTGCGGTAGCAGGGCTGTGTGAGCCTGCAGGTACAGCAGGAGTTCAGCTGCATCTCACCTTCTGGCTGAGCTCAGGCAGGTAAATCCCCTTTTCTCAGTTGCTCACCTGGAGAACAGTAATATTTGCACACTTCTCTTTAAAAGCTGTAGGTGAGAAGCACTCTGCCAAACCATTTCATCTCCTCTAGAAGCCAGTGGAAGAACACCCAGAGATTTCCATGGATTAGGCTCAGAGTTGAACTGAGTTGATAGTGAGGATTCTTTTGCAACAAAGAATAACTAGTTTTTATTTTGACGTGAAACAATGAGGATGGGACTGATACTGCTTGGTTCTGTGTGCTACTGGAATAGGCTGGACGTTGATGATGCTGCAAACCTGGGGCCTGACACGATGGATGTTGGGAGTTTGGCATTCAAATGCACTGGTTTTTGTTTGGGTTGTTAGTTTAGTTTTTAAAAAGTAGCTTTTCTCCATTGGAATATATAAACACTGGAATTTGAGGGGAAAAAAACAGAGGCAGAAGACAGCTGAGTAACACTCTCTTGTGTAATTTCCCATTTTTCTGTTTGGAGTGCTGAACTGGCCATTTTGGATTTCTGGCAGAGCTCATGGGCTGTGTAATGGGGTGTGCCCTTTGTTGTGCAGAGTCTCTGTAGTGGAGCTGTGGAGTGAGGAGGGGTTGAAACTGAGCTTCTTGAACACATAAATCACCAAGCATTAAACAAGGAATTTCAGAGGTGGTAAATTAGGATTTTCTTGGACTATCTGCTAGCAGATAATGAAGAAAGTGCAAAGGCACTAGCTTCTAGCTTCTAGCTCAGGAAATTCCTGAACTGAGAACTGCATGAGTGGGTGAGATCTTTGGCAGGAGTCAGAAGGGGAAGCCCAGCTTGAGCAAGGGGCTGGACTGGATGGCCTCCAGAAGTACCATCCCTCCCAGATGACTCTGTGGTTCTGTGAAGTGGCACTGTTTGTCCTTCTGCTTTTCCCAAACATCTGGACTCGGCTGCTGTCAGAGAGAGAATTCAGGGCTAAGCAGATATTTGGTCTTGCCTGCTGTGGCCAATCACATGGGGGTTTCTTGTTCCTTTGAGAATGAAATTAGATACTTACCATAAGCTTTGGTTTCTTCAGTTTTAGTTTCTTTGATGATCATAACTCTTCTTTTCTTCATAACCCTAATGGAAACTGCAAAACAATTCCTTATTCTTAACATAAAACATTTCAAGTACCTATTACAGCACCAACTGATAACATGGAAACAGTTGGTATATCAAAATCTTAGAAGTGTTATTGTGTCCAGAACTCTCTGTTGATAGGCTGTGACATTTTATTTTTTCCATCTATTGCTGGTGTGCACTTTATTTTAGTGGCAGAGTGAAAAAGGAACTAATCCAAAGCATTTGAAATACATAGTTCACATCCTGCAAACCCCTGAAAACAGGAGTAACAATTCCTGTGAAAACTATTTAATTCAGTAGGAGTAGTGGTCTGAATAACAAAATGTGTGTATATATGTTTGCTAGCTGATATTGACAAAAGTAGGACAGGAAAGAGCTAAAAAAGCAACAAATAAATGATTGTGAGGACTTTTATGAAATGACTCTCTTTTTTCCTTTATGCACTTGCATAGTAAGTTAAAAATGAACTAAATAGCAGATATTCATTAGAATAAACGACAGTCCCTGCATATCCTTCTGATACTTGTGATTCATCTAAGAGCTCATTCTGCCAGAGACAGTGGGGACAGTGAGACCCAAATCAAACAAAGAGTTTGTTAACTGTATGATAGATATATGGGTTTTATTAGCACTTAAGTACTATTAGGGTGTTTGGGTTTGGTTTTTTTTTGTCAGTCAGATTATTTACTATTGATTTAAATTATTTTAGGACTAGGTTTAAAGAGCCCTTCTAGTGTCTGGTATGTTCTAGGTTATGCATGCCAATTACTTAAATAGCTCACTGCATTTTATATGGAAGTGTTTCACTGCCTTAAACGTATAGGGAACTCCTGAATTTCACATGTTCTTCGCATATAGGAGAGTGGGTATTGTAGATATGGATTATGGTCTGCACTGATTTTTCTTTTGTTGTTTTTCTGGGGTTTTTTTGTTTGTTTTTTGTGGGTTTTTTTAAGAAATAGAAAGCTCTGGTGATTAAGCCTAAAAATCATGCATGCATGAAACCTCTTCATCTCCCCATTAAAATATAATTGGTCTGGAAAAAAAACAACCAACCCACTGTTGGAGTGACTGCACTTCTGGGAGTGTTGACTGTAATTTCAGTTTGGCTACAGGGTTTGTTTCCTGAAATGTTAAGCTGAAATTCAGGAAATTATTATACTTCATTGTTTAAGTGTTTTATAGGTATTTGGGCTCCAAGTTAGTGAATGCTTTGAGCTGATTAAGGTGTCAAGGATAAATGTGAGTTGAAGTGTGGCTGCTTAAGAGATAGGAAGAGAGGGAGTAGAAAGAAAAAACAGAAGGGCCCTTTGAAGTGTGTTCCCTTTGAAGTATGGGGGACTCCTGATTTATTTTTCTTAAAACTGTGACTAGCAAAGAAGGAAGGAGCTTTGTTATGAGTAGGTCATTGGACTGAAAGGTACTTAGACGAAAACATTAGTGTGTTTACCCACTAAAAAGAACCTGTCTGTTTTGAAATTTAATATTGCTTAATAAATAACTGACCCCTGCCCACTTATTGTGTTGTGAATTTCTTTTCCTAGCTTTCTTATAGATTGTTTAGTAACATAATTAGCATTATTAGCAATTTGTAACTAATAGTTTCTGACTGTGAAAGCAAAATGTATTGCACTTCTGGCTAGATTCTACATGTTCTTTAGGGTTGTGGCTTCTCTTGGACATCCTCAAGTCAATGTTATTGCTTTAGGGAAGGATCTTGTTATACCAGTTGTTTTGCCTCTTGTGCTGTACAGTATGTGGGACACCTGGCTGCACTGTAGCTGCTCCAATTTATGGCCTGGTATTTTTGGGTAAAGTCACTTTCACTAGTAAGGCTTTATTTTTTTTTATTATTTTAAATTTTAAAGCCTGAACTGAGGCAGACAAAGAAGAGGGACGTTTTCTGGCTTTCTGTCTTTGCTGCAGAACTGACAAATGGGACTTCACCATATGAGGTGGTAAATCAAATAGAAAAAGAATTAGATGATGAGGAACCTCTGGAAATCATGTAATCCCCCCATAGCCCCTGGCTAACAGCAGAGCTAGCTTCAAAGTTGCTCAGGGACTTGAAGAAAGGATGTTTTAGCAGGTTCCTTTATTCAAGTACCAACTCCCATTAATTCTGCTCAAGCGAGTAAAGATACTTGTGTGCTCAAGTGTATAAGGAGTCAGGTGACCTGTCCTTAGCTTGTGGGGAGTGGATTTAATGATTTAGTGTGAGCTTCTCATCTTAACACTAATGATAGACATATAGTAAGTAAACTCATTGTTTCCCTAGGTTATGTATACTTAGAAAAAGGTCAAGAAAATGATGAATGAACAGCTAAATTAGCAAGTCTCTCCAAACCTGAGCAATATTTTCCCACTTCTTGTCATTTAATACTTTCAAATGACCATAAATAATGGCTTCCAAACAAATCAGGGTTTTGATCATTACCAAGAGGAAGATTAAAGTTATTTCAAGCTATTGCCTTCAGACACTGTTGCTGCTAGTTTTCCACAACCATAAATATCAGAATATATGACTATACTCATTGGTAACACATAGCTATTATTAAGCATTATTCAGTGTTTATTAATAAAATATTATCTAGTGAAATAGTATTTTTTTACATAAAACAGAGAATCAAACTTTCAGTTCAAGGTAAGTGTCTCCACCAGTTTACCATTTTCAGGCAACCTGAGAATGACCTGGGTGCAGCACATCAGCTCCAGTCTAGGAACATGTAGGAAATCCAAATTAATTTTCTGCCCTTCAACAGTTCCCAGTGTAGTTACGGATTATCTGAGACTGTTGCTGGAAATCAAGCATAAAGCCCAGTGTCAGAGTGTTTGGCTCCAGGCAGGATCAAACTCAAGATATACAAGTCAGCACAGATCAGAGCCTGTACTTGCCACTGCCTTCTAGCAATGCATATCTCATAAGAAAAACTTCCAGGATGCACAAAAAGTTGAAGGGAAAGCGAGGACTGTTTAATATTTTCCTTCCAAATATCTGAAAAGGTCTTTAGGATTTTTTTTTCTCCTACTTAGTGTATTTTGTATGAAGCAGAATTTCTTTGTACAGGCTCCAGCTAGCTGACTACATAGGGAGGCTAGCCTAAGGGGTTGTGCATTGAAAACACTAAGCAAACTTTAAAAACTTCAGAACGTGCTTAAGTTTCCTGGAGTGCTTGTCTGAAAATCCTTGAGTGCCTGCTGGGTGTGGTAAACTTTCCTGGCTGTCTCCCTGAACTTGAAGTTTTGCATCTCTGCCTCCATGCGCTGAATGCAACAGAGTCTTTCTCCTCTGTGAACTGTACAGGGAATTTTCATTTCACACATCATTCGAGTTCATTGCAATAATTAAAAAAAAAAAAAATCACAGACTGCTTCTCAGTTCACATTAATGTAAATAATTAAGAGTTTTTGTGCTTTCCTGCTGTGAGAACTGTGTGACCTGGAGTCCTGGGGCCTGTACTGTTGAGTGCCAAACTGTTGCCAAAACAAAAAATTGCTAATTTTAGGGAGCTGCTGACCTGTTTAAGGCCTTTTCTTGTCATAAATCACCCAAATAACCGAGGAACATGCTACACTATTAGAAAGTCAGCAGTGCCAGTTTTAGGCATTGGAGGTTATTCTCCCATTTGATCTCTTCTTTAGCATTCTCATGTCATCGTTTTTCTCCCCTCCAGTTCACTTTTGACCTGGTGTCTTGAAAAGTATCAGCTCTCAAAACAATGCTGCATTTTATTCTGAAAGTTGGGGTCCCAGGTAATCTGACAGGTTAGCTCTTGCATTCATAAAGATAATCAGCTATCTGTTCTAGATATGCATGTTTTCAAATACTCCATCAGCAGCAGGTCTTTCTTGGAATGATCCTGGAGATAAGCTTATTTTGTGGGCACGGAAGCAGAAGAGATACTAATGGAGATCAGCTTCTCAGGGAGCTTTATCAGGAGCAACACTCTGCATCCTCATTTGACCTTTCCACTGATGTGAGCCTGAAACTTGTGTTTTGAACATTCCTTCCCAGACTTAAGTAGTCAGTTTTTTAAAAAATAAAATCCTTGTTGGCTGAGAGAGGTGGTGGTGGATAGATATATGTAGCTCCATACACACACACCTGGAAAAATGAAACACTAGTATGAGACATGGGGCTGTGTCTCAGAGTGTCTTTGGTTGTTTCTTCTCAAGAAGAAGCATTTGTCTCCCAAGAGAGAAAATTGTATTTTGAATCTCATTTGGTTTTGATAGAAGAATGCTGAGATGAGTGACATCAAAATCATAACATGTAGCTGTTTAAGTAATGAACAGTGGCACTTAAGGAGATTTTGAATGAAACTACAAATTAAACCCTATGGTATTGTCTGAGAAGAATTGAGCATTTCATCTTCTACCAGTTCCTTTAATCTTCTATGCCACTTCTTGAAAAAAACCAAAACAACAACAAAAAAATCTCTGCAGTAAATTTCAGCCACATTCTCTTGCATGTATTGAACTAATGTACAGTACTAAAGAGAGCCATGTGAGAGAGAACAGAGCAACATGGTTCTCTGCTCTTTCCCTGGCCCAAATAGATGACAGGACAGTGTTCCTTAGGTGTAGAGGAAAGCAACTTTCCTCCATCCATCCTGAAAGCTGATACACTGATGATGGAGTTGGAGGGAGGAATATACATCACCTGTGCCAGGTCTCCTACCCCCAATCAGTTTCTTCCAGATGAAAGGCAACCTCTGCTCTTACTGTGCTTCTCAGGTGGTTCGAAGGGACAGAACAAACAATAAACATTGGCAAAAGTATTTAATCTGTAATGCTCCTTCCTATTTTATGATGGATTTAGTAAAATTAGGGTGCTTTTCTAGTCTGATAGTAAAGCACTCTTTACGGGGACCTGGATGGGTGGTGTTTTGGTTATGTACACAACGAGCAGTTGTGTTGCTGCAAATGTGTGGTGCTTTAACTTGTTTTCTTGCTTTCCTCCAGTTTCAGTCCCCATTAATGCTCTCAGCCGGTGGGAGTTTTTATTCAGTATTTAGCTCAGAATAGGTCTGATGCAAATGGCCATGCTATACATTAGTGCAAACCTTATTAAAAGCACCCCTATGGGCCTGTGCGTGCCCAGAGAAGCTACTCATACCCATACCCACTTATCCTTGCAAGTATGTGCTAGTGGAGGTCACCATAACTTTATGTATTTCACGGGCTTGTGTGAAAATTGTGTTTTTCCCAGGGCAAACGATTTTCAAGCACTCTGTGCTTGCCCTTGATAATGTGTATTAGGGCCTGATTATTATGTTATATAAAGACAAGACCACGGCCTTTCAGGAACTTCTGTTGGGATGGCTGTGACTAGAGGATCTGGCTAGTGGGTAAAGTCAGTGGCAGGTTTTTGAAGGAAAAGTAATTTCTCAGACCTCAATGCTTGGAAAAGTGTGTGCTGACCTTCTTTACATAAATTTTGGAAAGCAAAAATGCCAGCTAAAGGAAGAGTAGCAGTGCAAAGATGACACTTTCTTATGTCCATCTGTAAGAAGTAGCTTAGTGTCTCTAATGCCAGATCAAAATAAAAAACTATTCTGGGATTCACTAGGAATCTTTCTAAATACATTTTTGCTACAGCATATTATTTGGATTTCTTACTGACTCCATGGCTTTCTTTGACTGAACACGCAGACTTTTGTTAGGCTAATCAGTTCCTGTCAAAACATCTTTCCACAGCTTGCCATAAATGCCTGAGGATAAACTCATAGTAAAGACACATTTTTCTCAAATTAAGCTCGTCTGTGACACAAGCTAGCTTCCAGTGCTGCTGTGTAGTAGCAAGGTTATGAAAGAGAAAAAAAATCCAGAGGTGGGATTCAGCCGATGCTAACTTGAGTTGTCTGTCATCCAGGGGGAAGAACATGAGGCAGGGAGTTTAGACACTACAGGGGTGGTGACTCGAATGCTGATGTCGTTAGTGTCCAGCATAGTCTTTAGGTAATCAGATGTAAATAACGACTTTAGGATGAGATGCAGACCTGTTTTGGCTCTGTTGGCTGTATCGACTGTATTTCTATTGGGTAAGGGAGATACAGACAACCAGTGCCTGTCCATACCTCCAGTAGGCTCCTGAAATTCTGGTGTACTGAAACTCACTGTTAAGATTGCTAGAAGTCTATGGGATTTCAGTAGAACTAGGATTTCTGCCACCATTTATAGGGGCATTACATTTACAGGCCATTAGACCTGTACTTTTGGAAAACAGAAAGCTTGGGATCAACTGGTTCTGGTTTAGTAACTCTGTAGTATAAATGGCCAATTTAGGTACTTTTTCAGAGGAAGCCTTTGCAGCCAACAAAATAAAAAATGCCTGGACAAAATATGATTACATTTAAATATGTCTTTGAGGTGCTATTTTTGGATGGTGTCTGTGTGCAACTTTTGCACTCTTTTTGCAATATAGTGGAGATTTGGATGACTGGGACATGAAAGAGCAGGCTATATAATGTAGAAATCATGGATCTACATTCAGCAAAAACATTAAATAGTGAAGATTCATTATCTTCTATTCAGTAAGACTGATTTGTAGACTGCTGAAGTTATGGGACCTTTTCCAATGACTACAGAATTTTGGAACAACCTTGAAGTTTTGTGCTCAGAATAAACATTTTATATGCTGCTTATGTAGAAACATATGCTGATTCTGCAGTCCTTTCCTCACAGCGAGGATGTGGTGGCACTTATCTCCATGCATTTCCCTAAAGGTTGAATGTTAATATCTAGTTACGGAGCTGAGCCATGTGTTTTCCCACCAGTTCTGTCCAAATGTTTCTGATTTGTTTTATCGCTATTAGGTGACATTCCAAATATCAGTGCTAACTACTCCCTTCTGTGATTTAGCACTATGAGAAAATTACAGCTTTTTCCCTAGTCAAAACATCTAGCTTTTGCAGAAAATGTGTATTTTTAATTAAGCATTTTCCTAAGAGATACATTTCTCTTAAGGCAGAAGAATATTTGAATGCTGTTGAAGCACTCTGTGACTTTATTTTGGCTGCAAAATACTTAGATATTGAAGATGGAGATTTGCATTTGTGTTCTGAAGGAGTTTTCTCATTTGGTCAGTATGTTGAGTTCATGATGAAGGTAGTAGGCGTTGGTAGTTATAAGCCTGTTATGGAAAAACTGAAAAAACAGCTGTTCTTATTTTTTCCGTTGCAAGGACAGATTAGAGACTGTTGAAATCGCCCTTTATTCATGCTTTCTAAAATAATGATTCCATTTGTAGTGTTTAGCTCAATTCACCAAAAGGAAATGCACTCATCTTGGACTGACAGTCCACACTTGTAAAAATAGTTGTGTTTATTAACGTTTACTTGAATAGAAGAAATCAGACTCAAGTGGAGGAAGATTTAATGTTTTACTATTTTGAATTACATTCCAGCATATACAGGCATTAAAGTGGAGTCTCAATTCTTCAAGTAACTTCTGAAACTTCTGAGAACCCTTTTGACCAAATTGCCTCACTAGGTAGCTGCATAAAAATTCAAACCTACAAGATGAAAGATGTGACATTTGGGCACATTGTGTTCCAACCGTGTAATTCTACCCAGCTGCACAGAGAAGCAACCTTTCATCTCTTCTGCTATACTGAGTGCATTTTGGATGTTTTGTATGTTTGTGTTTGTATGTCCTGTGCTTGCTGGGACTATAAGTGAGCAATTGGATTCAGAATACTGCAAATGTAAATAAAGACATGTCTGATTTGCATATTCTAATAGCTCCCAATCTCATGTTATCAAAACGTGTAGAATCACAAATTATTCTTGGGATGTGATCCTTAGCAGAAAGCTTTGGGGTTTTTTTGTTAGAACTGTAATCAATAATATAATTGTGTTGAGTGCTGTTGGACTCTCATATCCTGCCAAAATCCTGGAAGTGTCCAGCTCCTCTGCTGAAATCCACTGACAGAGCAACGTTCTGGCTTTAAAAAACCTGTTGTATGAATTGACAGTCTCCCTTGGGCTGGATGCATGATGGTGACTGTCATTTATCTGTGCGCAGTGACACCAATCCTTGCATGGGCAACTTCCACAACTGTGGATGAAGCTTATCATCAGTAGTGAAGCTGTGGCAATGGAGATGTGATTTTTAAGAAACTTTTATGTGACTGGATTCAAATTAGAAGGGTATTAGGGTAAGTTTGTGTTTCCCAGCTTTGTATGACTGGTCTTGTTCAAGTAAATGGGACCAGCTGTGTGGTCCATTCAGCTGCACTGGCAGTATAGAGGTGCAATAGCTCTTGCTAAGTAAATCCCAGTTTAATTTCTGAGGAGTATAGATGTTTTGTTGCCGTGGTTTAAGACATAAAATATGAAAGCTGTTCTACATCCAAATTTCAAAGCACTTTGATTTTAGCTGTTTTTTTTTTTTTTCTTTTTTTTTTTTTTTTTTTCTTTAAGAGAATTGTGGTTTAGGATTCAGGTTAGTCTGTATTTGATGTGCCATAGCTGAAATCAAAACAGATCCAATTCATGTATTTGCTTGAGCTCTCACATTTGCAAGATTTTGGAAGGAATTGACTGCTATGACATTTTAAAAGTTCTTGATACACAGTGTTTTTATTTTCTCATTTAGAATGGGAGGATTCTTCTGCATTTCAAATATTTTTTTAATTAAATCATATTAAAACATTTCATGCCTATTTAGGATCATGAAACTAGGAAATAAAAAAGAATGAAAATATTGAACCTGCTTCTTTTTTTATTTTTAAGGTAGAGTTCGGAAAAGTTTTATAATTTGCTCATATGAAAAGCACTAAGCTTGGTTTCTTTTAATTTTTTTATATTCTTCTTTTGTGTATGGTTGTGTCTTGCAATTTATTTTTGTCTCAAGGTTGAATTAATCTGAGGATGTCGACATTGATGAAGTTGACTACAGAGAAAGCATGCAAAGGGGAACTTGTCAAAAGTATGATAGGAATGGCAGAAATGGTACAAAGAAAATCCTTGTTCCGTAATTTGAGCAAAGATGTTCAGGATTTGCATGAAAATTGTTCTTATGCTTTTATAAATCTTGTCTGAGCTGCATTCTTAAAACTTCATTAGGAAAAACAGAGAAATGTATCAGTGGTGTTTTAAGATAGTAAAAATACTGCAATTTTCAGGAAGGAGTTTGGCCCTGAAAGCATAGAGAGAAGCACACAGAAAATTTGGAGTAGTATTTTATGGAAATCAGAGGAAAGTATGTGCAACCATTTCCAGCATGTGAAAATTGATCTGAAAAGTTCAAAGTTTGCATTTAAAAAATGTGGTGGTTGTGAGGGAGGTTGTAATGACTCTCTCAAACCACTTCAAAACACTGAAGTACCAAGCTATTCCTGTCACTCCTCTGACTCTCTCAGCTAGTTAGAAGGAAAGGAATCAAACCCAAATTACATTCACAAGATGTGGTTTGATACCAGATAAGGGAGAAGGAAAAGGAAGTTCCTGGGTGGTCAGGATGTTGTCTTTCCCAGTGGTACCCTCTACGGTGCACTCCTTTATTTAATTCAATTAAAGCACTTGACCATGGGGATGGCTGTACCTTATATTTGTAAACAGGATTCAGCAGATGTTTTTGGTGAAAGTTGTATAAGAAATGGTGAGCTGGAGTGCAGTCTACAGCTGTTTCATATATGCAGTTGTGAAGGTAAAAAAGGATGGGAAACCCACTCAGAGTTTATGTGGTCCAAGGCAGAACCCGAGAAGCTGAAAAGCTGACAACCACAGAAAACCACTTCAGTTGTGAGCATCTAGTAGACAGATGATGGCCTTGCCTACCCCTGCCTTCCTATGAAGATTGACAGGAGAAGGGAATCCAGAGCCTTAGTAGAATACACTACTTTTCGGCCCCAAAATAGTTGGAAAGAATACATTGTCCCTAGTCCCCTTAAATCAGAAGTCATGGATAAAGTAATAATGCAAAATTACACTGATTATTTCCTGAGTGCAAAACTTAGAATACATGGTGGCAGAATTGGGAAATACATGGTTGGAAATTAGTAATTAACATTTTAACCTCCCTGCCCCATGTTTTCTAAGCAGCTTACTAAAAAGCAATAGCAAATGGCTATCAGATGTGGGATGTTATATTAAAATTATGTCTCTGAAGGCAAAAAAACAAAAAAGATATTTTTTTCAGCAATTGTTTACACATGTAGCAAGAGAAGCTTTGAAGTTTAACAGTTCAACTCTTACTCTGTGACCTTCAATAAAAACTGTTTTGCATTCAATGTATGATTTATCTTACTCCATTTAGTAGCAGATTACCAGTTGTTTTTAAACAATAAAGAATTTTGCATATTAATACAAGAAAAGGTTTCCGTTAATGAAACATGTGGTTGTTTGTTGGGATTTTCTTTCTGTGATAGCACGGCTGCTTCTGGTGCAGCCTGTTCTGCACTGTGTCCCCTCTGTCCTAAAATATGCTCCCTGTGAGCCCAGCCAGGCTATGAATGAAATCTGTTGCAGAGCTTGTTGAGTCCTTTGTTGCTGTCTTGTGTATCTTTTGCCTGTATTAGTACTCTGGGGACACCTCAGCTATGAAGTGAGTCTGTCATTCATTAATGGATGCAAACTGTTCTAATCTGATATAATATTAAGGAAAAAAAGATGTGAAAATGTGGTAGGGAGGTTACTAGTATGACACTAGTCTTATTCAGAGAAAGGAGTTCATGTGGGAACTCAGGGTAACTTTTTTGTTTCTATTGCTGTGCATGTTCCAAGCATACCTATTTACAGAACTGAGGGAATGAATCCCTGTTTTATTTTCCTCATCTCTCAATCCAGAATGAACTGTACATGAAATTGATGGACCTTTTGTAAAATAGCACAGCCCTGCATATGCATATGCATATATCTAGTGAAATACAAAAGTGTCTGTAGTTGAACATGCAGCCTGTGTCCTGAAGGAAGTTATTGAAGAAGTCTGTGGTTAAAGAAAGTTGCACAATTAGAATCACTTTGCTATTTGTTAGCTTCCAAATTATTAATTGTGTGAACTTAAAGTTGTATGTACAGAACATGTGCATAGGTTTGTCTGCATGACCCTCTTCAAATTAACTGGAGGAGTAAAGTAGAGAGCTGATTCCTTCATTGGTCATAGCCTTTCATCTGACACCTCCTTTCATGTTCTTATCTGTCTCAGCTTTCAGCATTTTGTCGTTCTCTGGAGTATCCATCCTAGCTTTGACTAATCCATACATACAGGTTCTGAGGGATAGTTTAAGTGGAGGCTGTGGAAAGACAAGTGGGACAAAGGAGATAGAAGCATTTTTTTATGCCAAGAAGAGTTGCTGCCAGTGCAGGCCTGTGGGTGGGTTTGTAAGGAAAAGCAGTTAGAGGAAAAAGGTTTTGAATCCAGAGTGAAATACATTGGTTACACTCAGCAGTATCTTTTGAGACTAACCTTCCCTTCCCACAATGCATTTTCATTCTGCTCATAAAGGGAGGACCCTGTTCTATGGCCGTATTTGCTCTCCCTGGCATGACTGTGTTGAGTGCAAGTGACTAAAACCTGGACAGAAACTTCTGTTAATTTGATGTTTGAGGAATGAAAATGAAGCCTACATTAAATTAATTTGTTTTAATTTTTAAAAACCTGCACGACAAACTTCTGCATTTTAGGTTTAATCTAAATAGCAGGTTAGGTTACAGATTTTTTAAAATGTTTTGTTTTGGCAGATACCGAACAAGTTTCAGACCTCGGTACACAGTTGCATATAAGACAGTAACAGAGCTGGAATGGAGATGTTGTCCTGGGTACAAAGGGGAAGACTGCAGAGAAGGCCCAGCAGAAAAGCCCAACAATGCTCGTCGGCCAACACCACCAGCAAAAGCTGTTGTGAAGAAAGGCTTGGGTAACTTTTTGTTTGAGTTTTTGTTTCTTGTCTTGTCTTTTAAGTGTAAGAGCCATTACGGTTTCTATTAAACGCAGGGACTGGCTTGTACAAAGCCCATGTGGAAGATACTGTGTGGTAGGAAAAAAATAGCCAGGAAATAATAATCTTGATACAGAGAATTTTCTGAAGAATAATGGAGGGGTGGGTGTAAAACACTGGCCATAAATGCCAGTGTTGTCTACTCATGGTTCAGGAAAATTTTTACATGAAGGTTGTTTTTTTTGATAAGAATTTACAGGGGTTTTTTTTTGTGTTTTCTTCAACGTCCAAAAACAAATACTAATTCAGAGGAACTATTATTAAAACAAAAAAACCCAAACCACTAGGTGCTAATTTTAATGATAGGTAATGTTCCCCAGGAGTTTCAGTGTTTTGTTCAAGTTCTTGTGTAGATTTTACAGATTCATGTTAAATTACCTGCTTTAACTGTAAGGGCTAAGGGAATGGTCAGCATCAGTTGCTGAAAAAGCACCTTAAAGAAGGAATGATGTTTGTATAAGATAGTGTATTCTGAAAGGACAAGGGGTGTGCTGTTACTGCAGTATTATGCCTCTTCTGTGTTAACAAACAATGATAAAGAGATGTTGCCTTCTGAAGGACTTTATCTCAGCACATCATCCAAGATTAGTGTAACATGTAACACTTAGTCAGATTTCCACTTGTGATTTTTCTGTAGTGGAATGGATTGAAACTGAATACATGGTTTTAAAGAAATCCTATAGATCATTTATGTGCTTTAAAAACAAGCTTTAAAAATATTTTCGTAGCCTAAATATACACCTAAAATACAATTTCCAAAAGCTAATAATAAAACAATATCTTTAAGTAACTTGCACGCTGCTTATGTCTAGAGATTTTCTTTCTGCTCTGACATTGAAAGAACTGTAAACCACATAAAATAGACCAGTGTGTATGTAATAGTTACACTCTGTGTGCACACACTTTTTTATTATTAAAGGAATCAGCCACCTTGCCAGTCTTGAAGAGCACATGTGTAACTTCCTACCTTCTTTGTAAGGTCTTTAAGCCAAAATACAGTTTAAAACTTAGGAAAAATTCCAACTGCATGTCTTTCAGACCCTGTCTCAGTGTTGCTCTCTGCTGTGAATTCAGAATGTATAGCTTGGAACCAGTGCTAGTTTTCTTTTGTCTGAAGATTTAACACCATTTCAACACAATGTGGTCCTAACTTGACAGGGCACTCTTCTTATCCTTATCCTTATTCTTATCCTTATCTCCTTAGTTGTATATTCATAATCTGAAAGAGTTATTCTAATGCTAGCAGGTTGTGTTTCTGTAAAGAAGTATAGTATCTTTTTCACTTCTGTCTCTTAACTTCACTGTTGTCAGTTTGTTGGGGTTTTTTTAATGTCTGTAATAGTATTCGTTAACTGTGCAAAGATCTTTGAATTATGCATTGCATAAAATACATAATGCAAAATCACAATTAGGAATGTAGGTGATGTATTACTAGAATTTACCCCACTGTGCATAATGGCAAAAGTATATGGGAGTATGCAAATAAAAATTATCATCTGGATCTCTGCATTAAAGTGATATTAAATGTTTTCTAAACTAAAACATTTGGTGGTCTAGCTGCACGTTTGGTTAATATTAGATAATTATTTGGGATCACACTCCATATCTTGACTTGCAGTGACTCTAAGGTAATTGTGTTTTGATCTGGGTGGATCTGTAATGGTCTTGGCAGAAACTGGTCACTGTGCTCAAAGTTTGGAGTGTTTTGATATAATTTTAATTATAAGCTACTGGAAAAAAGGATAGAAAAGGGAACAAGCATTATGCAAGTTAAATCATTATTTAGATTTAAAGAGAAGTGAAATTAGCCTTAGCTGACTAAAACAGATACCACTGGGAATATTTATATACAGACTTTGTTGTTTCCATGAAACAGATGCAGAGCCAACAGAAGTTCCGGAACCTTCTCCCTATGAGAAGAAAATGCAGTTTCTTGAGGATGAATTGTTTAGACTTACGCGGTCGGTGCTTGAACTTCAGTCTTCTGTGGCAGGTGTGAATGAAAACTTAAAGCTCACTGTCCAAGAAGATGCCAGTAAGGTGTTGGTCACTTGGCTGAATAACCTTTATGACCGCCCAGAGCCTGATAGTGCAGTTGGTGGTGAAACGGACACTATTCATCTGCCTGGACTCCTCAGCAATAAAGATCAAAAAGACCCTTTTATTGATTTTGAAATGGAAGATATAAAGTCTGAGCTAGCTGAGGTCAAAGAAGCCTTGAAGATGAGGAATGATGAGCTGGAGGAACTGAATGGAAAAGTAAAAGGCTATGAAGGACAATTGAAACAACTGCAGGAGGCAGCACAAGGACCTACAATAACAATGCCTAGTGACAATATATATCAGGCATATATAGACTCAAAATTTGAGTCCCTCAGACAGGAATTACTGGAAGGATTTGAAAAGAAAATGGCAGATCTGAAGAATTCCTGTGAATACAAACTACAAGATATCCAGCATCAGTGTGACGACAATGAAAACAACTGTTTAGGAATAATTGACGTTATAAGAGGAAAAGAGAATGATTTGAGGAAAGAAATAAATACTCTTCGAACTCAGATTCCATCAAACAAGTCCAGTTGTTGCAAGGAGAGCGAGAGAAGTTACTTTGACCAACAGATAAAAGACTTAGATAAGAAGATTGACAGAGTTGCAGAAGCACACAGGATCTTGAACGTCAGAATAGATAATGAAATCAGTCGATTGTCAACTCCAGACCTAGAAGACATGTTTGGTGAGAGGTTTGAGGAGCTCGATGCGAGGATGAATACTACGGAGCGAAATGCTGAAGAGCATTGCTTTTACGTTGAGGAAACTCTCCGTGGGGCAATAGCTGCTGAGGCAGATGAACTGAGACACTTGTTTGACCAAAAGCTCCGGGCACTAGAAGATAGGCTGGGTGGCACTATTTTAGAGATTGCCAATACCACAGACCCAGATGGAATGTTTATTAATCCTGGGCCCATCTTGCCCAGTGACGCAGGATTGGCAAATGAGCAATTTACAGCAGAGATGAACTTCCTGAAGAACAAACTACTGTCGCTTGAACACCTCTGTGGGCAGAAATGTCAGTCTGCACCACAAGGTACAGAGGACCTTCAGAAAGAGCTAGAAAACTGTAACAACAGATACAATCACTTGCTTTTGAAAACAGAGAACAACTCGGTTCTCCTGCAATCTCTAAATAGCTCTCTTAATGACAAACTCAACTTAATTAAGGGTAACCAGCGTGACATCCAGAAAATGCAAAGAGACGTACGTGTATTCCGGTATAGTCTAAATGTCATGGATAAAGATATGAAGAATCTTCAAGATGGCTTGAGCAGCTGCAAGGAGCAGCTTCTGGGTGTCAATTCTACCTGTAGAAAAACACAGCGAGGTGTCTTCAGAAAAATCGATCAAATGCAGAGGACATTTGCAAACCAAACTGCTCATTCCAGTGATAATTGCTGTGGTGAAGTGAAGGAGAGACTAGAACAATTGAATGACCATATCCTGAATGATCTTAGTAAGTGCAAAGAAAATACCCAGGGTATCCAGGAGGGTGTTTCAGATGTTGAGAGCAGGGTCTCACGTGTTGAAAAAGTTTGTGGCAAGCTGGACTCTGTTTCAGGTAGCTTGCAGAAGATAAAAGAAGGTCTGAATAAGCATGTGAGCAGCTTATGGAACTGCATTCGTGAAATGAATGGAACTATAGCCTCTCACTCCACTGACATTTCTGGCCTCAAAAATTCCATCCAACAGTTTAATAGTCAGGTCTCCAAAATCACCACAGACATTGAAAGCGTGCTGAAATCTCAGCCTGACACAAGTAAGTCCTTTTAGCTTTTTTTTAAGACTTTTTTGTTTGTTTTTCAGCTGACTTTATTTTCTGAATAATTTATAAAGGAACTGAATGAGGGAGGAAAAATTTAATATTACACAATTTCTGCTGTGTGTTTATAGTGACTCTAATTTTGGCTCCTTGCTCGAGAACACCACAGAGGACTTGAAGTGCTTGTAAAAGTATTCTCACCAAAAAAACCCCAAAACAAACCTTAAAAAAAAAAAAAAAAAAAGTAGTCTTACATGCTTTCATGTTTACTTTGAGCCAGAATAGGGAGAGTGGAAAAAGTAACAATTTAGGATTGTGTGTTTACGGTGAGTTTTAAGTGATAGCTATCAGTGGGTATTATTTCATTTAACTTGATTGGATTTTATTTTGTTCTGGTTTATTTCATGTGAGATTATGCTTTCTTCCTCAGGAGAAATTGAAAATTAAATGGAGAAAAACAAAGTCAAAGGAATTCAAATTTATGATAAGAAAGATTCCCTGGGCGTTTTGTTCTTAGCATGAATTAAAGATTATAATTCAGCAGCAGCTCTTTGATTTAGGACTTTGGCAAAAAAGCTCTGGCATATCTTGGTGTGGCAATATAAGACTTCTGCTTCATAGCTTTGCCATAAGTTTGCATTCCCACAATATCGTTGGCAAATTGGCAATATGTGCACACCCCAGCTGGCAGTGTTTTCCCACCTCAGTTAGTATTCCAACATCTTTGCTCAGATCTATCTCCACAGGTGGCTTGAAGTTTTCATTAAAGTGTCTGAGAAGTGGAAGCTCCTTCCCTTCTGCACAGAAGGCTGAGAAATGGTGAACTCTGCACCTTGGTGAACCTTGCCATTGTGGCTTAGAGACCTTGCCAGATGCTGCTCAGTTTTTTCTGCAGTTCTTGCTCCAAATTTCAGTAATCCATTGTTTTTCTAAAGAGTCAAAATTCACAGAAGGAAGCTGAGTTCCTGTCTCTTTTAGCATGATGCAGAAACATAGGAATTGGAGACTGTTTTGAAATTGCACTCTTCAGTTGGTTGGCGCTTATGGTTTTAATTCTGTGCATGTGTGAGATAAGTATGAGGCCTATTCCTGTGACTGGCCTTAAATCAGATTAAGAGGTGTTGAGAGAAGAGTCTGTTGTTGGCTGTGGCACTTGATGGTGGCTGGAGGAGATAAGATGTGAGACTGGTAGTGCTCTTGCTTGGATAGACAAGTTGTGCTTCATGAAAGGTCTGAAAGTAATTCCAGCAGGGAAAAATCACAGAATTGTCACGGTTGGAAAAGACCTCTAAGATCACCTAGTCCCATCATCCACCTGGGGAGAGGATGAAGGGGATGAAGGGGACAAAGGGAACAAAACAACCCACCCAAACAATAACAATAATAATAAAAAAAGTCCCACAACCACACACCCCACAAAACCAACAACACGCAACCCACAAAAACCCCACTGTGCCCACTAGAGCATGCCATGAAGTGCCACATCTACATGTTTCTTGAATACTTGCAGGGATGGTGACTCAACCACCTCCCTGGGCAGCCCGTTCCAGTGCCCGACTACTCTATCAGTAAAGAAATTCTTCCTAAGAATATCCTTCTCACTCTGAGGTGGAGACTAGCAAGCCTCTGATAGATGCATTTGTTCTGTTTAATTGCTTAAAACTAAAAGCATTGCAGTACTTGACACAAAAATCCTCCTGAGATGAGAAGCTCTTGTATGAAATTAAGTAAGAAACATTTCTCTTCCTTTAAAGGAAGAAGTGAAGGAGGATGCAGGGGGTCTGTAATTCTGAGACATTTATTTTGGAGAAGTCTTTAGTTAATTCAACAGGGTTAGAACCTTCACCCCTAGATTTTGCAAAAGCAGACCCAGTCCCTATTAAAATGCAGTATGATGTATGTTTGTAATCCTATTTCTCATCCATCTCGCCCAGAATTTGCACTAGGGACCAACACAGGAGAAAGATCCAAGATACACAGTAACCTTTCTTCTTCTATTTAAAGCAGGTGTTTGAGCAGCCTCATGGATTGTATTTATCAGCCCCTATTACGATGTCGTAAAGCATTAAAAAGCCTTGGTGTGCCTGGGTTTCTGTAGCATGATGCAATTTCAGGGCAGAGTCCTCCACCCACCATTGAGTATTAAAGTGTGGGGAAGGACATTGCTGCTGACACTGGGGAGCAGGTACTCTGAGCATCCCTCACTGCTGTGGGGTGTCTCTGGCCTCTGAAGGATTCTTGAAGCACGTGCTTCAATCCCCAGATGTTTCCAATTACAGTAATGCCGTCTAGCACAAAAGCCAGGGTAAATTTTGATGGCTGGAATTACAGAAAGATTTTGGTAAAAGAGCCTTTTTTGGAAGAAGTTTGGTGTCTCTGTTTCATGAATTTGGTATGGCTTTTACCGGTTTTATGCTCATCATCTGCAGCATCCTCTCTGATTTTCAGTATCATTTGAAAATAAGACTTCCAGTCCTGGCTGTAGATTGGTGTTGAATTTCTGATGCACTCTTAGCCAGCGCATCGTAGCATTCAAATGATGTCATTTGACTTTGGAAGGGTTGAAGCAGAAACAATTTGTTACTAACAACAGTTGTTGAGGGCAATAAAGCAAGGATTCATTGCAAGAAATATGATAGAAAAATCTTATCAAGCAGTGTAAGTCCAATGCACTGTAATCCTGAGCAAAGTCAAATGACCCTGATTTTAGGAATACGGCTGTGTTTTCTTCAGGTTTTTTTATTGGGAGGTTTGAAGTGCCTCAGTTGAAGCTGACAAGCTGGTTAGTGAATGATTGTAGATCAGATGCCTGTATCAGAGGTCAGACCTGTATTTTTTTGTTAAAATTTCTTGTGAGGGTAGCACAGCATCCTGCCATTCTTCATACACAAGGCGGTGGTGAAGGCAGGTGGTGGCCTGCTCTAAGCTTGTGGAGCACCACGCATGATATGCTTGCCAAGGTAGCGTAATCCAGCAGCTCTTTGTCCACCTTGAATGGTAACAGTCCCCAGCTCCACATCTTGTAGGGTAATTTGATGTTCCCATTGTGTTCTGTGCATCTCTGTGGGTATGTTGGCTCTTTAGATGGCACAAAATTGAAACAATGTTGAAATGAGTGGTCTTATTTTAACTTGTTGCCTATTCATATATATTCATGAAGTTGTCCAGGAGTCAGAAGTGTGGTCTTGCAGCCAGATACTGTGCCGGGAGTGCAGTTTGCTTAGTTACAGTTATTTGACCTGAACTGCAATTCCTCTGGTAATTGACTCTGCAGCAAGGTTTCAATAGCAAAAGTCAAATGTCTGTTGGAGCTACAGTCCAAGAAGCCAAATGTATGCTCTATACAGCATGGATAAAAGACAACATAAAATCTTAGTATTGTAGTTACTGTAGTTGGTGAGAGTCATGTAGTCAATTCCTTTAGACTCCCTATGAGCTTGTGCAAAGTGGTGCTTTGTGACTTAATTGTCCAATCTCTTAGGTACCTTTCAATTTAGGTCAGGTCTTTTTGTCTGCTTGTGAGTTTAGTCACAGATTGCTTTACCCACTAGTTTGTTTTGCACACTTTGTTTTGGTGTGTGTTGGGGATGAGGAGAGCATGGTTGGGGCAGGACGATACTAAAAACAGATACACCCTGAAGATCCAGCTTTCTCATGCATCAAACTCACAGCTTGTCTTCCTTCCAAGCGAATCATTCCTCCTTCAGTGAGGTAAACTGCACGTTAAAGCTGCCTGGATGAACAAATGGGATAAAATAAAATATTTTTAAGTGGAAAGTATCCTTAATAGTAATAAGTATCCTTATTTTCAACTGAGCAGGGAACCTTATCCTTCTGTTTCAGTTGTGGGTGGGCATCTGAGAACAAAGCTGTTACCTGACACGGTAACTGAGTTGTCACTTATAATAGTGATGGCAACTAGTGCAGCAAGGACACTGCTGCTCAGGGCCTCAGCTGTGTAATGATCTCAGCTCAGCTTTTTGCCTTCCCAGGTAGATGGGAAGATGATGGGGAAGACTTCTGTGTTGTCTGTGGCTCAGCAAAGCTTGAACAGGTCATGCCAGCCTTCTCTGGGGGTTCATTTTCTCATTAGTTTGTGAATTGAAACACATGTCAAGGAATTGAATTTCAGGATAGGGTGACTCCAGTGTTAGCATCTTTATGTTGTGATATACTGGTACTTTGTCTTGCTGTGATGCAAATCGACGGAAGAGGCCAAAAAGGTTGATGAAGATCCCTCTCAACCCACACATATCTGATACTGGCACTTTAAGTTGAGCTTTAGGCAGGTAATTTTGGATTTAGCTCTATGGAGATGTATTTGGATAATTCTGACTATTGCTGGTTTGATGCTGCACGCAAGGAAGCAGTTTGCACATGATTTGCACTGTTGATTGTTATTGAAAGGTTTAGCAAAGCAAGCAGACAAATGTATTCATTTTCCCTCTCTCAGCCCAAGTAGTTGTCTAAATAAAGCTCAGCTTAATTGACTAGAGAAATGACAAGTATGTGTGTCCCAATGTAAAGTATTTTGTCAATTTCTGTTTTGAATAAGGTTAATTTGAGGATCTTGGTTGAAGGTCTAAATCTATGCCAGTGTGGACAGAAGATGTATCACCAAGTTAACAACTCTGTTAAACAATTCATTTTAGTATTTTAAGGAGTTTTTTGACAATTTTGAAAAGTATTTTTAATCCTGAGATTTTTACTAGAATAATTTTAATACATGTAAAGGGAACATTTCATTCTTTAGTCCTCTGCCTGGTGGATAGAGTTACTGAGTGAGCTTTGGTGCAGCTCTGTGGTGGATTGACTGTGAAAGTTTCAATCCTCCTGACAGTTGAAGTCAGCCAGCAAAGCTCAGAAGGATTTTCTCCTCAGCAGGCATGTCTTGCAAATGAATGCAGGTGGTGCAAGGCTATGACTTCAGACAGCCTCCCAGTGCTCTGGAAGGCTTATGTGGACTTTTTACAGGGCTAAAAACAAGCAAGGAGATCGACAAGGGTAAAGTGCAGGTGTTGAGCACGTGGGTTGTCAGCGACCCAGCAGCACCATCTGGGCCCTGGCTGCGCGTCTGGGCCGATACCTGCGTGACTTGGTCTCTAAGCTCTCACCCTTCAGTGTAAGACCCTTCTGGGGGTCCCTAGTCCCTCAGCAGAGCCAGGGGGAGCCTCACACCACATCTGCTTCTGGACACAGCCATTTGGTTTAGCCCTGGCCACTGATGAATTTATCCAGGATGATTTTGGAATGTGATGAATTGAAGTGCTTCATTTTGACCACTGGCACCTCAGGGCCCTGGTCTCCATTGTGGACCATGGCAGACATCTCTGGTGTGAGAGTGGCATTTGCAAGGGGATGTTTGTCCATTTCCCCAAATTCACTTTCATGCCTGTGTCTAAAGCCATGTTTTAGTCTCAAAATGCAACCAAAATAACCAATGGTAATCATTAGTTTGGAATGAAATTCTAATTATTCTGTGTAAAAGTTGTATTTGCTAAAATCTACAATATTGTAAATTCTTGTTCTTAGCATAGATGTAATTCAGCTTCATTTTTAGGAGGGTATTACATTCTTAAATATAATCTAGGACATTTTATGAAGAAGCTGTAATTCCTACAAAGGGCTTAAAACTGGACCAGATGCACAAATGAAACCATGTCAGCAGTGTTCAACCCTGATGTCATATGTGTTGGCTGTCCTACTGGAAAAGTCTTTTAATGGTATCTCTTCCCTTTAAATAATAAAGGCTTTTTGGTGTGTTATATCCTAGGGTTCTGCCTTCATTGTCAGAAAATATTAGTAATGGGAGTACTTGGAATTTTAAAATCATTCCTTTTCAAAGTAGGGAAAAAAATCTGTAAGTTGGTGTTCATTTACTCAGGTTTTTTCTGTGGATACTTTTCTTTATGGTAGTGCTAGAGGGTCAGATGAGAATGAGACTGCCTTGTGCCAGGTGGTGTGTGGAAAGCAGGAGTGATGGTTGGGAGGGGTTCAAGAGACCTGATGTGAAAGGTGGCCTCAAATTGATTCCTATTTCATCCTAACGTATATTTTTTACAAAATTAAGCCGTTTTATACACTTGTTTTAGGTGAATCATTCTGTATCTCTTATCTTCTTTCATCATGTCCAAGGGCACTCAGAGGTACCACAGCAGCCATTGCCACCAAGACCACCTCTGCACCGCCAGCCTGGCATATCGCTGCTTCTGCCATCAAGGCCGAGGATCCAACCTCCACAGCAGAGGATCCCCCTCCAGCCACCGCAGCCGAGACCTCTTCCGCGCCCGGCGCTGCCAGGGTCAGGAGTTGTGCCTTTCCTGCCTGGAACAACTGGTGTCATCCTGGAGACTGGAGAGGCAGGGCCTCCTGGCACTGTTTTAATGTCAGGCAGAGGGCGGCTTAGGAGTGTGGATGGCCAGGCTGGTCAAAGTACTATGCCCATTGCTGAAGGATATGCTGGAGCACCAGGTGAGACAACCAAACCAATAGTGAGTCACTCCTGCTTAAGTGCAGTGGACATGCTAGGTCTTGCTCTAGAGAGGTGACACAGAGATCCATTGTGCTTTACCAGCCACCTTTCATAGAATGACAGAATGGTTTGGGTTGGAAGGGACCTTAAAGATTGTCTTGTCCCATGGGCAGGGACACCTCCCACTACATCAGGTTGCTCCAAGCCCCATCCAACCTGGCCTTGAACACTTCCAGGAAGTGGGCATTGACATCTTCCCTGGGCAACCTGTTCCAGTGTCTCACTACCTTCATAGTGAAGAATTTCTTCCAAATGTCTAATCTATCCTTTTTCAGTTTAAAGCTGTTACCCCTCGTCCTGTTGCTACATGCCTTTATAAAATGCCAAGCTTTCCTGTAGCCCCTTCAGGTACTGCAAAAAATAAAGTCTCCCTGGAGCCTTCTCTTCTCCAGGCTGAGCAGCCCCAACTCTCTCAGCTTGTCTTCATAGGAGAGGTGCTCCAGCCCTCTTATCATATTCGTGGTCTTCCTCTGGACTCACTCCAAGAGCTCCATGTCCTTCCTGTGTTGGGGGCTCCAGCACTGGACACAGTACTCCAGGTGTGGTCTCAGTGGAGTAGAGGGGGAGAATCACCTCCTTTGACCTGTTGCTGCTTTCAGCTTCCCATGGACGCCCAATATAGCAGTTGCCCTTGGGAGTGGGCTAGTGGCAGAGGTGATTTGGGAATGGGCCTTTGCAGCCTCCAGCTGGACACAGAGTAGGGGAAAACATGTTCAGTGCCAGTTTTGTCACCTTTGCCAACGCTGCACAAAGGATGAGGTCAGCAGGGCTGATGTAAAATCCTTGGTAACTACCACAGTCTTTGCCACTAGGGTAACAAATTATTTTTTTTCCTGCTGTAGTGCTTGCAGTGGATTTAGTGCAGTGTAGTACAAATTTGTTTCTCTTTGCCATGGCCACCCCAGCTTAACAATAATTGATCACTATATAGGAGGTGCTACTTAGTAGCTATTTTTGTAGGTTACTGTGGAAGCAAAGGCTGCTCTTCAGAAGACTGCAGTGATGTTTTGTTATCATATACTCCATTATGCACTATGTGACACACACTGCTTTTTCTTTGTAGGTTATCCAGAGTTACCTCCTCCTACCGCAGACTCACAAGGTAAGGCAACAATGTCCTAGAAATGTTTTGCACAGGTACTTAATGCTTATTTCAGTCCCTGGAAAGTCACAGTTGAGAAGAAAGTGTTTGGTTTTAGTATTTACGGATAGCATTGAGGAAAATCTGACATGTTTTGTTATACCTAAGCGTTAAAATATAATCTGCATCCTCTGAAAATATGGAATTTTTGAGGTTTTGAAAAATAATTCATTTTCTGTTATTGTTATTTATTTCAGTGTTGTGTTTGTTTTGTTTTTTTTAAATACAAAGGGTTTCTACATTGTAGCACATGTCAGTACTGACCCTTTTTTTTTCCTTTTAAATGAGAATATATATTTTTTTCCTGACCATTTTAGTACTTTTTTAGTAAGATACGAATAAGGCAAAGACTAAGAACTTGAACTACTGTTAGTATGTGAGCTTGTGCATGGCTTGGTCCTCCATGTGGAAGTTTCTAGCTTTGCTGGAATCATGAGGGCTCATATTCCTGACTTCAGTGCTGCCACTGCCAACACAGTGGCAAAAAAGATTTTAAATGCAGTTTTCTTGGTTTGGTGGGTTTTTTTTATTTTTTATAATTGTTAATATCACAGCTCAGGTATGGATTTGTATGCTAAACAGGTATTAATCTTGTGTGGGACATCTAGTTGGTCTTGATAAATATATTGAATGAGTGCCTGCCTGCCCTACAACCTCATACTCAAGATATTATCAAACCCTCAGGAATGGTATCCTGGTTCAAAGTGAATATTCCCACACCCTCTTCAAAAAGAATGATTTAATCTAAATTTGTTTGAGGAAATGTGAGAAATAGATGAAAACAAAACATTAAGGCTTTATGGCATCGAAAATCCTGCCCTTGGGACTTAGTCTGATAGACCTAACAAAATCAGAGATACACTGAACACTAGTCTGAGGACTGACAAAAAGAGTTGTGAAGAGTTCACACTGCAATTCCGATATTTATACTTTCTAATTAAAAATCTGTCATAGCCTTCAAGCAGTCTTTTTGCATTTGAGGATTGTGGTGGTGTGAACAAGCAGCAATAGGTGAGGCTTCTGGAAGAGGATGAGAAGTAAAGAAAAATTTGTTTATCTTGATAACGGCGAAGCGAACATAGATGTCTGGATTTCTGTGATAAATGGATTTCCTGGGGGTTTTCTTTCACTTTGTACAACACACTGTCATTTATAAACAGCCGCATTTTAATAAGTTTATGCTAAAACTGTGTGAAACAGTAGGTGGATGTTGGAAGTGTTGAAAGGCAGGCTGTGGCAGGCAGTGGGGCTGTTTGCTGCTTGGTGGAACATCTGGCAAAGAAATGTTAAATCACCCTGGGATCCACAGAGGCATTGGCTTGACCACAAAGTTCCTTTCCCTGATCCATGTCCCAGAAGACCCATCTAAATAGAAGTTATACCTGGTGATCTGTTATATAATTTTCCCCAAAATGCCTTGCAAACCCCAATGGTAGGTCCAGTCATAGAAAACAGAGAGGTAAGGATGGTGCAGATATTAGAATTAGAGCATTTACGTCCACTGTCTCTAATCATCAGTATCTGCTTTTAAACAGTAAAAAAAAGAGAGCATTCTGGGGCAGAATTCAGCAGGTAGCAGTGTTGTGGAAATTAACAGTTAGGCATGGGAGGACTTTTGGGTTATTGGAGGAGGAACTTAATGCTTAAATAAGGCATCAAGGAATCCTTAGTATCTAATTTGTGCAGGACCACAGTTTATGATGTCTTTGCCAGTCTTCACCCAGTACATTTTGTGGTACTGAAATTCAAATTGGAAAGAAGATCAGACCTTCTTGCACTATGATTCCTAAAATAGGAAGCTTGTACTATTAAATTTGCCTTCTGTATACTCCCTTTTATTTCTGTCTCTGAATAGCTTCTGTTACATAAAAGCACTTCTCAGGAAGAAGCTGAGGGCTCCAACTCAGTCCTTTGGGATTAAACTAGTTCTCTTCTTGAATGCTGAGGCACAATTTGCATACTTCAAATCCTGAAGAATTTCTTGAGTTGTTCAGATTCATTAGGTATCTGTTTGCATGCATTTTACAATGTAACTCAGAAGGTCAAGATCATCACAGGCTTGTAAGTATTAAGGAGAGAGTATGAGACATTATTACATATTGGCTGTGTTTTCACAGGCAAGGAGTTTATGCAAAGGTGAGTTAAGTGTTGGGACTCGAGAGAATCCACCTAATCCCTTTTAATATAGAAAGAGTTTAACTAATTGTTACTTAAATAAACATCAGCAGCAAATGTTATTGAAACATGGCAATGTTACAGTTATATGAAAATTGTTGTTCACTAGAACAAAGAAAATTGCAGAGGCAGAAGTAATGAATTGGCCCATGATCTGGTCTGGGAACTGATGAGAAAATGCTTTCACAATCCCCAGGTCATACAACTAGGCAAAGACAAAGCCAAGAAGAGGATTTAGACATTCTGACCAGCATACAGAGAGGGTCACAGTGAAAAAAATGCGCTGAAAGCACAAACTGCCTTCCCTACGCCCTCCCCCTTCATGCAGTTTGCAGTGTTGCTTGTGTCTTTAACTCTGCAGCTTCAGTGGAGACTGCTTGCTCCCCTCTAAAAGAAACTCCTTGTATGGTGTGATAAAGAAAACAGCTGGGCTATTGAGCCCTCCCACTGTGCCAACACTGCTGTATATATCTGTGCATATAAAGGGCTAATTTTGGTTTGTGCTTTTAAGTTCTTTTTACTTGCCTTATACTCAACCATCTTTACTTCCTCAATGTGACTCCAGGCAGCAGGTCTGTAGGATACGTTTCAAACATAAAGGCATGATGTTCCTGTCGTGTAAGATTTGTGTTGTTGTAGGTGTTCCTTGATTTCCAGATAGTGTTTACAGAATACTTACATTACCCTTCTGTGCTTCTGATGTTTTCTGCTGCATGTGCAGCTCTTTCTTTTGGTCACTGGACAAGAAGCAGTATTTTCTTTAGTACACATCAGTGGTCTAGCACAGGGGACAGTGTGTTTGCTGACTTTGAGGTATAGAACGTGATCACCTACAGTGGCACCAATGGTTGTGTTTTGCTGCTGTTTGCATGAGAGCAGAAGCTGAAGGATGGGGTAGCAGATGGATATCTGTGTAAGGATGGGCAGGTAAGTGCTAGGGCAAACCTTCTCTTGGTGCATTGTGAAAGGTAGGAGTTGTAAGAGCAGAAAGAGCTGTTACTGAGACTTGGGAGAAAAGTAACTGTGTTTTCATAATGTGTTGAGTGAGTTATCATCTGCATCAGAAACACTCTGACTTAGCAGAGCAGATCTAATGGCCTGGCTTTGTTGAGCACTGGCTCATGGATATTAGTGTGATGCTTTGCTGTGTAGCCATCCCATGAGCAAAGGGAATGCTCCTGGAAATGAGGTATGTTAACATCAAAATTAAGAGGTGAGAAAAAAAAAAAGGCGAGGGAGTGATGAATTGTGATATTTTTGTCCTATTTGCTGTCACTGAGATGATGCACTTTGCCCTCATTAAGATTTAGGAGTATTGACCAAGCAGAGGAAATCTGACATACCCTCCCTACTCCTGTCATATGCAAAGGAGTCTTAAGTGCATACTGACAGATAAATTACATACTGGCTGTCTTCTGTGGAGATTCTTGAAGAGTCCTCCTTCCAATTGCTGAACAGTTCTCAGCAGCACCATCACACTTGATTATTTTTTTTTCCTTTCATCTTGATAGAAAATGTCTTTGCTGTGCACTGTTTTGTTTTGCTTGATTATTTTTCTTATTTTCTTTTTTTTTCCTCCTTCTGCTTCTTGAACTCTGTGGGAAGCATGAACTGTGCTGCAAAGTCAAAAGAGGTGGAGAATCAGAAATACAACTAGCAGATGGGTAGAAATAGATGTAACCTAACAAAGGCCACCCATGTATCTTCTGTGGTCTTTTGACTCCACAGAATACTAGCTTAGATTTCCATGCACACACATACCTGCACCTGCTTGTACCAAACAAAACCTTCTTGAATATGTCTGAAGTTAGAGGGTTTTTTCCTCCTCCAGAAGCTGTAAAACTGACTTTTTATTCTGTGGTTTAATCTTTTGTGAAGCTTTTAGTCTGCCTAACAGTTTCTTCATCAGGCTGTGCCTATGGTTCCAAGCACTTAAAACTTTTCTGCCTGATTTTTATAATTCCACAACACTAACTGCTTAAGTGAAAGCAGTTTCCAAGCCTGACACTTGCCTAGAGAATCTGAACTTCGATCTTTGCATGAAGAAAAGTGTTTGCAAGTGGGGACATGTAGGTGGAGGTGGTTCACTTCTCTGTAAGGTTCTGCAAAAGCACTGCTGAGAGCTGTCAGTAGGGCTTAGAGTGCTTCAGACAGGCACAGTTCCAGCTGGAAGCAGGGAGGAGGTTAAGACACATGTTATCTCTTCCCTCAGCCTCCTTATATTGCCCACTAAACTGATTAAAGCATATTTAGGGGGGTTAAGTCTTCTCCTTTGGGCAAACACAGGTGGTATGCTAAACTAGAGTGCAGATCTGAAGTAGTTTCAGCAGCAGACTCTTAAGAACCATTCCAGCAATTAGTTCAGGAAAATCTTGAAGGAAGTGTGGCGAGCCTGGGCAGGAGTTGCTCCCACTATCCAGATGACACCAGCCTGAAGAGAATTGTAGCTACTACAAACAGAGAGCACACAATTTCTGGGCATACAGCAAATAGTTTCTGCTGTCTGTGCAGTATGACTGCAGGGGAAAGGAAGCTTTCTGAGAGAGCCAGCAAGGAGTTAGTTGAGGTGCATTTTCATTTGATTTGAGTCTTAGGGTAAGCCGAGTGTACAATGAGATGCTTTCTGTAAGTAGTGTGGTGTTAAGGTGGTGGAGCTTTGTAGAAGCCACTTAGGTAAGTAGACCTCCTGCTTCATTCACAGGAAAGCCTACAGGCACACTGGCAGGTGGGACTAATAAAAAGGTGTTTCTTTCCGTTTTCTGAACATGAGACAAAATACTGAAAAAGGAGATTTCCAAGGATACAAGAGGCAGCTGATTACTGGCCTCTGAGGGAAATCAACATAGTTATTTACCATTTTTGAATGTGCAGGCATGTCTTCTGTTTGTCTTGTCCTCCCACCTTACCATGCCAAATTATTAGGAAAAAGAATATTCACATTTTAGATGTAGTTTTGCCACTTTTTAAGTGATATAATTTGAATTGAACATTGGTTGCTGATGGATGTCTCAGATGAGATGGAGAGGAAGATCAAACCAAAGATTTACTTTAATGAAGGCAGAAGGAGCAGAGGTGAAACAGCATGGAGAAGACATGAGTCCTAACCTGAACAGGGTAGAATAGAAAGAGCAGCTGAGGACAACTTAAGTGTATTTGCTGTTTACCTAATTGCTTAAACAAAACACGAGTTGATTACTTCTAGCAGTATGTCCTGCCTTAGAGGAAGGGTTAAGAGGGAAGGGGACTAAACTGGGACTAACGAGTGGCTGATCACTAAACACTTGCCATGAAGTCTGTCTGTTAAAAGTAAAAATTTGTCTTAATTGTCCGAATTCTGTTTCATCCAACACCACTCTAACAGTGGTATCTGGCTAGTAAGCAGAGAGACATCATAAAATACTTACGTGTCTTAGGTCTGCTGAGAAAAGAAATAAAAATTGTGGAGTGAAAAGTCTCCTAAAAGTGAAGACCTGGGCCAGCAATGTGTCTTCTGCTAATTCTGGCATCCCTCATCCCTCAAGTGAAGAGGTTAGCTGTTAGAGGAACAGCCACTGGATTATAAACCGTGAGAGGGAGAGACTGTGTTGTCATCTTGATGTAACTCTGACTCATGTTGACTCATTTTAGGACCTGCTGCTGCTCCTGCGCCCTCCCTGGTGTCCTTTTCTGCTGGGCTCACACGGAAGCCTTTCTCCAGTGATGTCGGCGTGGTTCACTTTAATAAAGTGCTTGTGAACGACGGGGACTATTATAACCCAAATACAGGTAACAGCCAAAGAACGGACCCATAGAGACACCAGAGAGGCAGTAGCATGGGTTACCAATGTTTGATGCTATCTCAGGCCTTGCTGGCACATTGAACAAACAACTGAAGTCCATCTAAACCAGACACATCAAGGTAAAAGCTTCCTGTGGGTGTGGACAGGCACACACTTTGCACTGCTGGTTTTCCACAACTGCCCAGTAATGCTGAGGCCCAACTCACTACTGCATTTGGTCTACCAGCACAGCTGGTTGTGCTCCTCACCCCACCTCAGGCCAGGTGAGCCCAGGTAGCAGAGGTGAGGTTCCTTGCTAACCCACCTCACTGCAGCTCAGCCGGCTGGGTCACTGGGGCAGAGGAGGGAAGGAGGAGATAGGCAGTGCCTCCCCAGTAGCTGTAACTGGGGGCTGCCACCTTCTCGAGCAGAGTGTCATGTCACTTGAGGGTGTTGGGCATTTCTTAGCCTACTGGGGACTTGCACAGCATGTGGATGCCTCTTGCCTCTTCCCCCAGCTCTGAGTCATGGCAGCTGCTTAGGCCAGAAGGTTTCTGAATGTGGACAAGACCTGTGTATGTCCCAAAGGACTGGTGGGTTCTAACATAAAGCAGCAACCCTTTGCCTTCATGACAGTTGGTCAGCTGCCCAGGCTGACCTTGTCACAGTTACCTGTGCGTAGCAGTGGGTAACCCTTGTTGCCTTCTGTTTGTAGAATGATAGAATGGTTTGGGTTGGAAGGGACCTCAACAATCATTTGGTCCCTACCCCTCTGCATGGGCAGAGACACCTCCCACTAGACCAGATTGTTCAAAGCCCCATCCAACTTGGACTCTTCCAAGGATGGTAGTTGCCAACGTACTGTCCTTGTGAATAATTCTATGAAGCTGAGACTGTCTCTCTTCTGCAGGCATTTTCACATCACCGTATGAAGGGCGCTACCTGATCACTGCTGTGCTGGCCCCGGAGAGGGATGAGTACGTGGAAGCAGTGCTGTCCGTCTCCAACGCCAGCGTTGCTCAGCTCCACACGGCTGGCTACAGACGGGAACTGCTGGAGTATCACAAACCCTACTCAGGGAAACAGACCTGTGGTGGTCCTGGGACGTTCCACCTCGTTCTTCACCTCAAAGCAGGAGATGAAGTCAATGTTGTTGTAACGGGAGGCAAACTGGCCTACACAGACTCTGACGAAATGTACTCCACGTTTAGTGGAGTTCTCCTTTATCCTTCCATTTCTCATGTTTAGGTGTACCTTGGACAGGAGAGAAGCGTAAGATATTCAGAAAAAATTAAGTGTAATAAAATTCAAAGCTTTAATATATTCAGTTTATATATTTGATTTCAGTGATGGCTTTATGGTCTATACTGAGACCTTTTTCTTGTTTCTTGTTTGCAGAGGTAGCTACAAAAGACATCTTTCTAAAGCTAAATTAACTCCTTCCCAAGCCCTTGTTGACCTGTACAAGCAGAACAACAAATATCTTCTCAGTAGATACTTCTCCACTGTGCTTTTGCTGTTCCCTATTAAATTGTCTTTGCAGTCTTCTCCCTAGTTTTTCAAATTGTCCCTAGTGTATCAAAGTTTACATCTTTGCTGAAGTTTACAGATGTGGTCAGCTATTGTCATGTTTTCAGTAAAGCAGGCCCGAGAAAGTGACATTGTATTAGACGTGGTTGATGACTTCTTACTCCATAATTTGTTTAATAATATGTTGGGTCAAGTGCATTCACATAAACAATTTGTTCAATGCAGTTGCTAACTGTGGTAGTGCAAAGCAAAACAATACTCATCTGTATCAGTTTTCTTTTTTCCTTCAAGGGCTGAACGCTGTGCTAAAAGACAAGTGACTCATTCTAGTCAAGTGAAAGCAGCTGTGCAGGGAGAAAATTAACTTCACCTCAGCTTTCCACCGGGCAGATGTGAGCATAAGGTGCAGTTGCCACAACTAAAAGATTTAGAATTGTTATTTTCAATTGATACAGTAAAAAAAAAGAGGATCAGTTAAGCATGCTCCTCTTGAGATTAAAGCTTGCTGCTTGAAATGAATGAAACAGGTTAGGAAAAAACCTGAATCTTCTGTCCCTAGCTAGAAAAACAGTCATTTTGAAAGCTTTAAAATTTTTACAAAGCTTGTTTCAGGTACTCCTACAGTATTTGCATTAAAAGGGAAGTTTTCTTCTTTGTGCACTGTAGAGAACAAATCAGAGGAAAAATTGTTTGTCTAGGAAGGCAGCCTTGTTAAGTGATACTGTCTCATGCACAAACCAACCTTTTGCACTAAGTCTTTGCTGTAACAGCCTCTTGCAATGGTGCTTTTGAGTGAGGTTTATTTGAACACTCAGCATCTGTTTCAATTGCTCAGGCAAATTTTGTAGCTTAAACAGATAAACACATTCTGAGCAACAGTATTTTATTGCTTATACTAGCCACTCCTCAGTAGCTGTAACAAAAATGATGTTTTGACTCTTTGGAGTTGGCATTTGGATCTCTTTCATGGCTGGAAAAAACAAAAATCCAGCCAGGCTTTACTGAGAGCAAGACTGTTCGTCACCTCTCTATTCTTTATATAAATGGATCTTTTTAATAGTCTATTCATGCTGCATAGAGTTGTATTTATCATAGTAGTTTGTGTAGCATATTTGCCTTACAAATGCAGAACAGCTGTTTATAGCCTCAGAACAGACAGATCCTTTAGGTGAAGGAGGAACTCCCTGTGCTGGAAGCAACACAGCATGTTTATCTGAAGCTCTTCCTGTCTGAGGAGGTCAGACCAAGACTTTTGCCTTTGTTCCTTAGTTTTGGAATAGATACTCCCTCACAACTCTTGTTTCCAGGCGATGAGATGGGACCTTCCCACAACAAACTATCACATCCTGGAAGTTGAGCTGCTTTTGAGAATACCAGGTGGAAAAAATTTTCTCTCCACAGAGGAGCTCTGAGTCAGTCCCTGTGCAGCTAGGATTGCACTTGGAGAGTTGTGAACACAGGAAGGAAATTGCAAGTGGAGTTTTAAAGCACCTGGTTTAGGAAGATCTCTTGGCACCTGATTGTCAGGAATGACAGTGTTACTGATAAGCAGAAGCTAGGACTGGGTGTATTTTCGAGCAGGAAGGCAGTTTCTCTAAGAGCAACTGTTAGTCAACAGCCAAAGATGTACAGTGAAGTTGGACTTCACAGCTTGATAAAGACAACCACCCCATCACATTTTATTTGAAAAGCCAGTTATATCAACTGCCTTTTTTCTTTTTTCTTTTTTTTTAAACATAAATTTATTGTTATGTACAAAAGCTGAAGAGGCACTTTTCCTTTCAGGATATTTTTCACTCTCCTCAAGAAAGCTGTGTTCTCTAAGAAGTTGGCTCCAGACTGTGTATGACTCAAGTATTGTTAGATTATTGTTGCCTGTTCTAAAAATGACTCATGGAAACAAACAAAATTAGTGGAGTGCTCAGGGAGACCTAGCTTGGCAAACACAACCCTTTTTTTTTCCCTTCCTCCATGTGAGACATTTTCAAGAATCAGCAGTGCAAGTTTAGTGCTGAAGTTGCAAAAGCTGTATCATCCAGTTCTTAGCTAATTGCTCCAGTATATCTCAAAGTCCAACCCACAAACCTTCACAAGCCCAGTTCTGCTACTGGGACGGGGCTGTCTTCTACCAGAAAGTTTCTCCTTGAACCCAGGATCTGCTGCTGCCAGTGCTGAGATTGTTCGAACTCGTAATGCAACGTAACTGCTATTTGTACACATTTATAAAGCATTCCCTAAACTATGTCACAGCAGGCCCCAATCTCAGCAGTGTATTTTGAGGACACCTTCTAGAACTTCTACCAATAGCTTACCATCCACTATCTACAACCTTTGGCAAGGAACCTCTGTCTTAGATTCCTGCCTTTGCTGAGAGAGATTTGCACCTTAATTGCCACTTCCATGGTAATTGCTGCAATCAGGGTAGGTAGCTCAGTTTCTCCTTGATGAGGTTATTTGCCTGGAGCTTACAAGGTGGAAGACCACAACACCTTAGCCCCTGAATAGCGAAGGGATGGGGGAGCCTGGGTTCCAATCTCTGCTTGGATAAAACACTCATTAAAGGAGCAGCTGGAAGAGACCCAAGCACAGATGCATTCATAGGTCTGCTGAGCTTCAAAGGAAGGAGCAAGAACCTTGCTCCAGAATACCCTGAACCCGTGGTTGGAGCAGTTGCATCTTTGGTGAGACTCAGCAACAGAAGAAGGAAATACGTGCACTGAAAGGAACATGTCACGCTGTGGGTTCAGGATTTGAATACCACATCCAAGAGCATCCACCAGCTCAAATAGGAAGCACCTTTTAACCAAGAATGCCTTAAAAAAACCAAACAAACCAAGAAGTGGGAGCTTCAGGGCAGGTATTCTGCCTGGTTCACGACAGTGCTGGCTGTTAGAGCTCCTTAATAGGTATCTTTGTGATGCAGTGTATGACAAGTCCCAGATTCTTGGGCAAAACATCATCTGTTGTGCCAGGTGCTCACATTTCACATCAAAACAGGAAGAAAACCAAACCATACCAGGTGAAGCTGTACAGATGTGACTCACAGCCCCTTAGCCAGGCACAAGGTAAGGTGGTTTCTCAGGGACTGTCCAAATATCAAAACCACCAGAGTCCCCATGGGAGCATCACTTCTGAGACAGGTAAATCCCCTTAGCCAGGTCATTAGCTGCAGAACATGACAACAGGCCATCATGCCAACAGCAAGACTCTTCTCTGGCCACACATGGGGAGTGTATCCTGCAGCACATAATGGGGAGGGGCAACATCTCTATCATATCCCCAGGAAAGCCTGGAGCAAAGCAAGAAAGCCAGTTTTCACCACAAAACCTGTGAAAAACTACCTCAGTATTTCAATTTGCTATTAAGACTTCAGAGACAGGAGAGACATTTCTGTACTGACCACTCAAAGCAAGGAGGATGTTCTGTGATATTCCACTATGTGTCCTTTCAGTGTGCCCCAGGTTACTTGGCAGCAACTTTGTGCAGAGTCACTAGGAGACTCTACTCAGCTTGGTGAAGTCAACCAACCACTCAAGAAAAAATAGTCAAGGAAAGAGAGTGAACTGTAAGTGTAGATGGCTTAGGAAGGCAGCCAGGAGACTCAAATCAGGATTGAATTGTTTCCTGAGGCTACATCATGCATTCAGAAGTGAGTTTTATCTGCTGAGGAACTCCTGACATTACGGCACAGTAGTGGACCTATTTCACAAAACCACAAATGCATTTACAGTCTCAGCATGGAGACAGGAGGAACATGCACTCTACTGAGACTCGATCATCAGGTAGTTGCTCCCAGAGAATGGCACAGATTTCAAATTGCCAGGTTACCAAGAATACCTGAGGGCTGTGTCCTGTCATCACAAGACAGACTTGTGCTTGAGCCAGCACCAAACCCTTCTGCAAGGTACCCTGTGGACTTGAGACAAGACACAGCACCAGCTCTGCCAATTCTTTGTATATAGGTGGCTTCAAAGAACATCTTGCAACGTTACTACATAGGTAGGGTTTGGCATTTATCTGTTTTGCTATCTTGAGTGTGAAAAAAAGAAACACTACTATCACTTTTCAGCAAAGAGCAGCATGCTTGAGACAATGCTTTGTATGTACTTGTGTATACATACATTTGTGTACAGAGAGCGAGTAATATCCAGGAACATGAAGAAAATTGTGATGGAAAACAACTGCAGATATGTTCAAATAAAGCCTACCTATTGTGTGATGTCTTGATGCGCTTTCACTTTCCAGTGAACACAGCAGCACTGTAAGCTAAAATTTTTGCTTTCTCCACCACATTTAAAAACTTCAGTTTCTGGCTTTTTCAAGTCAAGCTTACATGTATTTTAAGTGTTTATTCAGTGTCAAGCACTGTTACATAAACTATGTGGTACATAGATGATCTGGCAACACAGTTCTTACTCATCTTAGTTGCTCATTCAGTGCCCTAATTCTTGGCAAATAGTATAGATTTCAGCTGGAAGGGACTTAAAAGCATCATCTAGTTCAACTGCCTGACCAGTTCAGGGCTGACCAAGTTAAAGCATGTAGTTAAGGGCATTACCCAAACGCCTCTTGAGGCTCAGGACACCAACCATGTCTCTAGGAAACCTGTTCCAGTGTTTGCCTACCCCCTTAATAAAGAAATGCTACCTAATGTCCAAGTCTAAACCTCCCCTGGTGCAACTGAACAATTCCCACGTGTCCTGCCACTGGATACAGGGATATCAGCATGGCCCCCTCCTCAGAAAGCTGTAGAGAGCAATGAGGCCACCCCTTGGCCTCCTTTTCTCTACAGGCAGACCCAA